AGTTACCTAAAAACATGATTCAAAGACAAAATGTGATCACCTAACAATTTAGATATGTTTTGAATTAAAAATAATGTCTAAAGCAAGGAAAATTGATATAAGTGTTTCAAACTAGGCCATAAACTGAATGAAATCATGACACTTATCAATACTAAATACATCAACATCAAGCATTCATATGATGTATCTGTTATTATTACAAAACTTAACAATTATTAGAAATTACAATTGGAATTCACCAGTATTGACTTTATTAAATTAAACTTTAAATCATGCGATATTATCCAAACAGATAGATATTGAAGGATACATGTTACTTTTGCAATCATAAGCTTACTAAACAGTTCTCAAATGAGGATGTTGAACAAGGATTTGGATAATTTGAATAAAAAGTAAAGAAAAAACAATGAAGCAGGAACCATATTTTCAATCACAATTCCTTTTTTTTTTATATAAATAAATAGTTGTGAGAATAAACACAACTTCATTATTCTATGAAAATAAATAAATAATAATAAATAAAGTTTTTACAAAAATTGTGTTATTAAACACAACTTTAATTTTTATTTTTTTAAATGTCTTAAAATTATAAAATAGAAACACGATTTTTACATTAAATTTTATAAACAAACATATATACCATTATAAAGGAGATACAAGAATATGTAATCGTTTTTTATCTTCACTTTTAGTGGACCATTATACCCCTCAAATATAACACAAAAAAAAATTATATTTTCTTTAAATAATTACAAATAACTTTATAATATTATATCTGTATATAATTATTAGAGGCACAAAATACTTCCACCCCTCCTCTAGTTATTATAAAAGTTATCTAAAACAAAATTACATCATCAGAATAAAATAACTTTTTTCTAGGATGCGGGGAGGAGCAGTTTTGTTGTGCCTCCAATTATGTTGCATACAGACCCGGTGGATGACATTTTATGGGTCTTAGAAAAAATATTAAATTGACATTCTTTAAATATAACTATTAAAATTAAAATATTTTATAAAAAGAAATAAACGCAGATTTTTATTAATTTTGTTTACATCTAATTATATTAAATACATAATATAATTTTAGAGGGTGCGGGTATGATATTAATATGTAGTGCAGTTTTTTTTTAAACAGTTTTTCAAAAGTATCATGTATATACTTTATTAAGTGCAATTTTTACATTTAAGATATATCAAACTTAAATTGTTATATAATATTTTATTGAGTGTAGATTTTTTATTTTAAAATATTTTTTTAATATTTTTTATGAGCTTAATTATGAGTTTTGATTTTCATCCTGTAAACTTTTTTCTTTATTTTTTAGCTTTCTAAATTTTATAAATATTATTTTTTGTTTCACAAGTAAGTTTTAATTTTGATTCTTATATAATATATATATATATATATGTATATATATATATATAATATTTTTTCTAAATCTAAAAACACTTTTGTCCTTAACTATTATTTTAAAAGTAGATA